GGATTTGGTAGCATTCTGAAAATGGACACACATACCTTAATCCTGATGGCTGGTTTCTGACATCAGAACTAAGGACCTGCCCTGGAGCTGTCCAAAGAGCCTCCAGTTATCTGCCCATGAGGGGTGTTTTCTCAACCTCCCACTGCCCCTTCCAAGAGAAACAGCCTGGAAAGAAACCTCAGCTGTTTACTTACATTGGGTTTGTAAATCCTTGGCAGTAAACCCCATGCATTTTTAATCTGCTATCTGGAGATACCAAATAAATCTGAGTAAGTTGATGCTGTCACATTTCTGGATGTTTTGCATTCGGACAACTATAGCAGCCTCGTTGTGTTTGTATAACTTTGTGTTTTTTCTCACAAAACATGGTTCTACAAACCGAAACAAAGAGAGGAAAAATTTGAACTCTTCGTAGCCAAAATCAGCGATGCCAGATTTCAGGTTCCAAACAAGCCAGTTTATAAGTAAACACACTGCAATTGCCAGATCAGGAGGAATGTGTTGGAGAAGACATTGTGGACTGATGGAGAGGGTGCCGAGCTACATGGGCAGTCAGAAGGAGGGCTCGTTGGCTTCAGCCCTGGCTCTGAGTAGCTGTGTGACATGGGCCATGTCATCAGACCTCTCTGTGCCTGGTGCTGCCTCTGACACAGGAAATAACCAGGTCTAAAATGGAAGCTTAGCAAACAGCTTTCCCTATTTTTTTTTTTTTTCAGTTCACACTGCAACTTAAACAAAAGAATCCCTTTCTATTTCATTATCCCGATTGTCTGGGACTTTTTTGGTTCCAACCCTCAAAGTCCTGCATCCCAGAAATCTCCTCAAGCCCAGGTACCCTAGGACCATTTTGTCACCCTATCCTTGGAGTGGTCCTCCTGCTGGCTCCATTGGCTAAAGAAATAATGTTAACACTGTCAAGCACCTGGAGAACACTCTAGAGTCTAGAACCTTGTGGGCAGACAGACATTAGAATCCCCTGGGGTTAGTTGGAAATGCAGAACTCAGAACTACCCACCCAGAGTCAGCATCTGCCTTTGAGCACCGTTCCAGGTAATCCAGGTGACATGAAGATTTGAGGAGCCCTGTCTGGGAGACTGTTCTGCCTACCTGATCACAACCTGTTGGGAAGGCATTATTCCCCCACTTCCCAGACAAGGAAACTGAGGCTCGGAAAAGTTTACTGATTTATTTATTCATCCATTCGATCCACATTCATTAAACACCTACTGTGTGCCAGGCACCTTTAAGTGACTTGCCTGAGGTCACACAGCTAGAATACAGAGACTATCCTCAAATTCAGATCTTGGAATTCTCATCTAAGGTGGTTCTTGGTGCACTTCAGGGTGGTGCCAGAACCCCACAGCCACAGTTTGATATAGAAGCAGATTGTGGATTACAACAAAATCCTCTAGGCCTGTAGAAAGCCTAAAATGATGCATAGCAATGACTTCAGATCCTTACTCTTGGCTCCTGAAACTGGGAGCTTATCATCTATTTATTTACACAGCCCCAAGAGCTTGAAAATACGCTAATTGTTGCTGCTTCCTTTCATCTCCACTCTCCAAGCCAGCAACCCTCCTACACAAAGAATTAGAAGCACTCTCCATAAGCTTTACAGAGCACCAGGGTGATGCTTCTGTGCTATTTATTTCCTTGAATGGAGGACGGTGGATTACTTCCTTCTCCATCATGGGGCCAGAGATACAGGGAGGTGGGAAGGGAAAGGAGAATCTTTACTTGAACTGCGAAAAACAAAGATAAATTCTTTGGGGAATAATTTTTCTGATGTTCATAAAACATTTTTGCATTTGGTCCCCAGAGACAGCTAAATTATGCCCACAGTTTTCCACAAAGCTAAAAGCACTGAACAAACCTCTGAATATAGGCCAATAATATTTCGTCAGACCTTCCCAGAGTCTTGGACTAGAACCTTCCCTTCCAGCTTCAATCTTTCCTCTTTGGCGTTTTTAATTCAGAAACTGTCACCACCATGTGATCTGATGGAAGGTCC